ATTTCGTTATGTATGGATTTCCACCTTATTAGAAATTAGTCTCCACTTAAGTAAAATGATCTACAGCAAACAATATCAGGTCTGACAGCACCTTTCCAAATGAGGATAGAGATCAAGTGTTATACCTATAACCTTCTTGAAATTCCATTAAGGCACCCCGCCAATCACCTTCAGAATCTAAAACATCACCCAAATTGATTTTTGCTAATGCTTGGCCCTGAAATCACCATTGTGAGTTTGTGAGAGAAGGTTAAATCAAACTCGTACCTCTGACATGTTGAGCAAATAGAAAGCTGAAACAACTTTTTTTAAAAAAAATATTAAAACTAACCTCCAGATTACCAATCACTTTATAAATATTCCAACTTTTGGTATACCATTCACGAGCTTTCTCGAAATTCCTAAGCTTTTCATATGACTCTCCAACAACCAAATATGAATCAGCCAACTTTTCTTTGTCACTTAGTTTGCTTGCAATTTCTATCTTCTCTATTGCATGTTTTCGATGCTAGAAAACAATGAACAAAAGTTAGATAACAGAGATATATATATATTTTTTAAAACATAAAAAAAGCTTAATAGTATTTATAGCTTCCACAGCCCTAATGAGTAAAATTCTTAGAAGAAGGTGCCAAGTTTAGAAATGTGATTTTCAAGTCCAGCTCCAGCACAAGTTCATGTTCAAATGTGTATACTAATTGAGCGCAGATGTAAGAAAATGATATGTAACCTGCTGGTAGATTTTTTTTCCAGCCAGAGGTTTAAGATCAAGCAGTTAAGTTGGAAACAAACAGCATAATCTAAAGCTCCATTTGCATGAAGAAAAAATAGCAGAGAGAATAAAGATGCAACTAATTGTTCCATCACTTCTGCGTTTGATAAATAGCAATAAGGCTCAAGGAGCACAAGTGAGGCACGCTTGATATAACTGAGAAAATAATCTGGAAAAAAGTAGTGTATGTGCTTCACTGAAAGCGCCTCACACCCTCACCAAGACCAAAAAGGTGCATGACCCATGTTGCATTCAGCACCTAAGTGCCCCATTTTATACAATGGTAAATTTTAAGAGCCATATGTGGATCCAAACAAAGAACTCCAGAGGGAACTGAAGGAAAGGGCAGGACACTAAGACAAGTATAGCAAGTAAGCAAAGTGAACAAAAGTAAGCAAAATGATACAATTCTGTTATCACAGGCTCACAGCAACCCAAACATATTCTTAACTTCATGGAAGTCAAAAGCACACCTACAAGCTACATGATGCCTTTTTGCTTTCTTGTGGTCTATGCTACAATAGAGGTAATTTAGAATGCTCTCAGGTGGTCTCTAAGAACTTTATCTTTAACAGTGTAGTACAGCAACTAAACTTACCGATAGGCTTGTGCTATAGCCTACAGGAGCTTCCAAGGAAATCTACCTTACAGTTAAGAATCGCAGGACATGTCATTTTTTTGTTTTCTTTGAGCAATATTTTTTTATTACTAGCCCTTTCTGTGCATCAAAAATATAGTTTCTAATGCCATCAAAAATGATTTGAAAACAAAATCCAAAGCTAGCTCCCTCAATCTACTCAACAGCTCGAAAATTGCTTGAGACATATCATTGTGGCTCTTGGAATATACGAGTGAAATAAAATCCCCCACTTTATAGTTATATAAACCCTAAAGGCCATTATCAAGAAGAAAAGAGACAATCTTCAGTGCATAAACAGTAAAGTTTCATATATATCTACTAATTGCAGTATGTTCTTCAGGGATTAAGTACAATGGAAGAATCTTACACTAGATACTTACTTTTTCCCAAGCAGAAATAACGGTGGCTTTATCAATAAGAAGATCAAGAGACTTCATTAGCTGCCTTAAACACTTTCTTTCACTTGAAGTGCCTTTGGCCGTGTTCATGCTACGCTGAAGCTTCTTTAATTTTTGCTCTTCCGTTTTTATATCCTCCCTCACTTTAATATATTCCTTCACAACTCGAATGTTTTCCTCAATTTGACGAGCCAAAGCAAATTCATCTTCCAGAGATTTTGCCAGTTTGAGAGCCGTTTGGTAACATTGCAAGGTCTCGTCAAACTTCTGAACCTTGCAATATAGTTCACCAAGGTTAATATAGCCTTTAGCCTCTCCTTGGCGATGGCGAATATTCTTACATATCAATATATCCTTCTTGATATGCTCTCGAGCTTTGTTCCACTTTCTTAGCTGCATATAGACAAATCCAAGATTATGATGTAACCTGGTGCGCCCCTCGTCATTTTCATTCACCTCCTCCTCATCACAGATCTCCAATCCTTTGGTAAGAATTTTTTCAGCCTCTTCCAAGTTATCAAGCTCCATTTCAAGCATTCCAACATTATTATATGCATCAATATATTCCTTAAGAAAAGAGGATTTAGAGTCCGGGGGATTTTCCTTGAGAGTTTTAGCAAGACTCATAGAAGATTTGAAAAACTTTTTAGCCTTATGAAGAGCAGAATGATCTTCAAATTTAGTAAACATTTCTTGGTATGTACGTCCGAGTTGTGTGTTAGCTCTTTGCTGCTCAACCAGATCTTCTTCATCCTTGGCTAGCTCTAAATGCTCTTTCTACATTTACAACAGAAAACAGAATCAATTTTTCAAGTATTAGCAAAAGATACATTGGTAGTTCATAGTATCTTCCAAGCTAATTCTAGTCCAATCAACAATAACAGAATTAATCAAATCCAGTACTTCCTACGCTCTTGTTTCGAATAATACTTTCAGTTAGCAAAAGCATACATCTTCCATTGTCATAAAATTCTCCTATATTTCACTAATCAACATCTTAGTTAGATAATATAACATTACACAACCAAAATTCAATGAATAAGAATATATATTTATAAAATGCCAGTAACCCAAATAAGATTACCATTGAAAGAAACTACCTTTGCTCAGAACAAAGAGCTGTTGTTGCATAAATCAAACTTATTATTAATATGAACAAAACAAATTTAAAAGCAGCAGAATAACATCTCCAAAATAAAAACCCTGATTTATGAATCAATTAAAATTAAAACAAAAGCATAAGAAAAACTTATCCTTAAATAATCAATTAAATGAAATTAAACCCCTAAATTCACATGTACAACATAAATAAAATGAAATGAGAATTCTCAAAAAATCCTATTACTTCCATTAATCAAATTTCATAATACTACCAACATCAACCATGCGGAGGCGGACTAAATCGGGTTATCCCTTCTAAACAAAAAACCGCGAAAACCCGAAAAAATACCTGATAGCGGAGGGCGTCCTGAAAATTATGGAGACGCAAATAGAGTTCACCCATGGATTGACAAGAAGGAAGACGATCTTTTTGAAGCAAAAAAGAAGTAGAAATCTCATAATCAATCCTTAACCAATTTAGGGCTTCGCAATATTCACCTCTATCTTTGTGAAGATTACCAATTACATTTGCCCATCTAGCTTCTTCTTTGCGATTTCCTATATCTTTAGCACTCCTATACGCTTTCCTTGCTGCTGATAACTCTGGATCGTTCTTCCCCATTTCAGAAATTGATTTGGGGAAATTTTTTGAAGGAATTTTTTAGGGTTTTTCTGGGTTTTGTTGGGAATTCAGCAATTTTGATTTGGGGATGGGAAGTAGAGGAGAGAAAGAGTGGAATTTTGGGTGTGAAATAATTTCAAATTCGCGCCAAATTTTTGCATTTTTTTTAAGAATGGGCTGTCACTTAGAATTTGTAGAATGAAGCCCTAACGCGTAAGCTCTGTGCCGAAAATGTTTTTTTTTTTTTGGGTCCCTTTATTTATACACCGCGATAGTCATATGATTATTCACGTCCTTCTCTTTAATTATATTTTGTGATTTAACAAAGTATAGTCCATATACTTGGTAGTTGGTAGGAAATAAGATTATAATTTAAGGTCAAGACAAGACATCTTAAGACATGATTACAGTGAACAGACCAAGGCATGAATGAGATGGTTTAGAGCACCAAGTGAACATTCGAGGACCCTTTTGGAGCTTTAGGAAGCACCTAAATTGCTAACTTTTTCCAATTGAAAAGTTATCCTTTATGGTTAAATTTGAAGGATTCTAATACACGAAAATTGACTATTTTCGAAGATTTCGGACCTAATGTCGAAAACTCAAATGATCTTATGTTATGCTTCCTAAGGTCATATAATGTTGTTTGGAAATAAATACTATCACTTGTCGATCACATAAAGACTCATTATGATATCGAACTAATGAAGGGAGCCGTGTATGTAGCTAAGTAAATCGACTAACAAGAAGAAAGTAGATTATTCCAAATTTCCTATCATCTAGAGGCCGACTGTAGTCTTGTAGCCTTTTTGTGGGAGCCTATAGCACCTTGTCCTCTTTGTTTTCGAGCTCATAAAAGTCAAAAACTGTTCAAAATTAAAGGTTATAATCTACAATTTCAGATCAATTTTGAAAAAAAAAATTCACAAATTTGAAGTGGGTGTGGGGGGATCTCCCAAGGTTGCAAAAGCTTGTTTGGAACTTTAATAAGCCTATTATAATATATATAAAGTCTCGAGAATGATTTTAGTTCAATCATATAACTATTTTACAAATTTGTTGTAGACCTATAGTGGCAATCAAGATATGTAAGGGATGATTCCAAACACCAAATATGCATTTTTGGATCCTATTAAGAATTAGGAATCCTTCACAGTGCTATCAAACCCAATCTCAACCATTTATCATTGTTGATGCATGGGTTGTTAATTATTCCCTTTAGGTGACATGTTTAATTAATACACACATTTGCTAATGCAAATCATAGCTTTAACAATCAATAAGTTAAATTTTAACCAATTGACTATTGGTGTAGCGGTAATTGAGACTACACTTGGTAGAGAGGACCCGTGTTCGATTACCCGCAAGGAATTCATGACAAAAACACGCGTAAATCGGGCCATGTATAACATTTTCCCAAAAAAAAAAGTAATTTTTTTTTAAAAATAAACACTCCCATCAAAATAATGCAAATCAAAATTAATGAAGTATAATAAGCTTTAGAGCAGCTGTAATTAAGACTTGGAATACAATCATCAGCTTAAAAAATGCCTCCAAGATGAGTTAGAATGATCTGGAAAAGCTAGTAATAAGGTATAATCCCAAGTCTACACTATTCACATCATTAGAGGCACAATTATACACCAAATCAAGGGAAGAAAAACACCAAGTATTATACAGTGGTCTTAAAACTCTGAAGAACATCATCCAAAGAATTTCGGATAAAGATATTACAAGAGCAACTCAGCAGCCTGCACTCTGCACCTATATATTGCAAGTGAACTCTGCAGCCTGCACTCTGCCCCTATATTCAATCCTTACAAAGCACCTTGACAAAATACTGTAATGGGAGTTGCCAGCTTGTTGATACGAGTAACTGATGGCTGATTTATGGAAAAACAACTGCAGAAAAGCTGAGGCTTGGTAGCAAAATTAGATTTAGGTCAACTCCTAACTTCGACAAAGTTCTCTTATACATATTGTTCATCTCACCATTTGATCCTTCGCTAGGATTTCACATCTTTATTCAAAGCATCAAACACACTTTTTATAGTTACATCTTCCACAATCACCACTTTGTCCCTCGACTTGGAACCTGAACCAATAGAACATTGCCTCTTTTTAACACCAATAACCTGTATAAAGACAATGTGTTAGAAATCAAGCATCTCTTTGAGGAGTGTTGAGTTAGAAAATGTATGGCATCTGACCAGAGTTGGTCTATTTGTACAAAACAGACGAAGAGATAATTTAGCATGCTGAATTGAAAAACCCAGAATTAACAGTCTGGTTAGTTGTTGTTCCCAATTATTCTAAAGCACACAGGTAATCTCAATAACTGTCGCATGTCTCACAGATTCACAGTTGATACATTATGAAACTTTGTAATCATTTCAACGTCACCAGTCCGCTCAAAAGAAAACCCAAGTGGCCTTTCGAAATGGACAAAGAAGAAAGCATTAGCCTATAGGGTGGCTTTTAGTACATTTTAGGGTCATCCAACATTCAAGTCTATGGTGAAATTTGGAGATACAAAACTTCTTCCTTTTGAGATGATTCCTAGTTGAAAATAGAATGAACAACCTACTGAAGAAGTACGTAACTTCCATTTATAACTGTATTTTAGCTTTCCAAAAGGTTTCAGGAATACTTAAATAAGTTTATTAGGGATACAAATGTCAAATTCATAACTAAAAAAAAAGGGCCAATAACTTCAAATAGAGAAAAAAAAAGTCCAGGGAAGTCTATAGAGTTTGTCAAGTGAAAAGACCGGAGTATATATCTTTAGGCTAGCCATCTTCTACTGATACAATACTAGAACATATGCAGTTGGGTACTTGGGTTGGCATACATGGTCTAATGGTCCTAGACTCTTTACAAGAAAAACAATGTCCTTAACCACATAATCGTGCCAAAACATTAAACGTACATACACATCATTTGATCGGGATATTTCAGCAGATTTCAGGCCTCAATTGCCTCATGATATCATCCCACATTTAACATTTTGAAAACAACAATTATTCAAAGTTATCTCTATCTAACAAGGTATCCAGCAGAAAATTGGCATGTAAATGCATACTATGTAATCAAGTGATCAGTGAAACAGAATGGTGCATTATCAAACACATCATCTAAGTATCTAACCAATATCCAAACAACTAATTTTGTAAAGCAACCCAATAACACCAACAACAACAACAACAATAACGATAACAACAACTTCTCATTAATTAAAATTATACATGATTAATTAAAAGTTGAAACCACAAAAGAATACATAGCAAACAAATAGACCTTGATACTAAAATGTTTGTTTGATACACCTAATTAGCTCAGATGCAACAGTATTATTTTTAAGAATAAACAATCGACTACAAATTTTACAGGGATTGAATTGTATCTTAAACAAAAGGCAATTACCCAGAAAAATAAATGAAAAATTCATCACCCCATCAAATTAAAAATACTCCTTCATGCATATTATAAAATTAACAAAATTGAAAATACACCCAAAAAAAAAAAAAAAAAAACATACAGAGCTGATGAAATCGAGTAAAGCGGCATTGGCTTCACCATCTCTAGCAGGTGCATCAATCTGTACTCCTACTGCCTCCTCTCCTACATCTTTTTTTTTTTTTTTTTTTTTTTTTTTTTTTTTTTTTTTGCAATAAATCATTATTTAATATTAAATATACAAAATTTCTATTTTTTTTTTAATAATTTGAGGATGAATTCAGAAAAAGGAAGAGAGAGAATTGAAATACCAGTGATGGAGGAGAGTTTGGAGCCGGGTTTAGCGTGGATTGTGATAGCAACGGAAGAAGGTGGAATTGATTTTAGACATGACGGAAATTGATTGGGTTCACTCTGACTCGCCTGAGTTTTCCGAGTTGACTCGTTGTTTGCTTTGCCTTTCTTCGCCGGTGCCATTGTTAGCCCACTGATTGATTTTACAGGGGAACTTTAAAGATTCGACCTTTGTATCAGAATTCAGAACATTGTACCATATTGATATACTTATATCATGGAGGACAATATGGTCTTTTTGGTTTTCTGGAATTCTTTTGTTTTTGCTTTAGGTGCTAGACCATATTAACAAGGAAGTCAAAATTAATTTGTGAAATTATTTTGAATATATTTTTTTTCTTTGGTGATTAAAAGATTGTTAAACTTGAGAAATTCTATTACGGATCAGTTTTTAATGTCCTAACAAATGTTATTGTATTTTTAAGATTCAAATTAGAGATTTTTGATTAAGTTGGAACAACTCCCTTACCAGCTGATCCTAATATTTGTTTGTGTAGAACGAGTTAGATATATAATTGGACAAATGAAATTAACATTTTGATTTCTTATTGAGATAGGCGATGAACACTGAAATGTTTACAATTAGAGAGAGGGGAGGTTCAAACCTATAACAAGTAACACTTAATATAGCTAGTATTTGAGTCCTTTTTCCTTTATTTCTTGTTTGCAAGCTATTGTTATGTATCCTTGATTCCTTGATGCCATTTGAGCATTCAATTGATTCAACCTAACAACTTCAATTGAAGTTCATGACTATGCATAATGAGGTAACCAGATCTAAACTTGGCCTTGAGGCCATTTGATTATGGGGGTCATGGGGGGTTAGAGAAAGATCATGAGATGTTCTTAAATCCATAATGGATTGGACAAACATATCGTCCTAAAAGACAAGAGGAACGCCAAAGGAACAAACTTACAGTAATCTAGCCAATTTTATTACAAAGAAGTACATAAAGCCAGAAAGAACAAGAATTCTTCATTGAATGATTGAATATTGATACAACATTATACATTTATACCAACATACTTACATGAGTGAGTTGTAAAGAACGGATCCTATCAAGATAGATTAATTCTATACCAGTCTATCAGAAAATAGCTAGATTGCTGGCTTGCAGTCGATAAGTTAGATCATGTACGTCTGGGGACTTATGAGTATCCTACCCTTGGTGGGAAGTGGGAATTATACAACATACTGCAGTTGGTGGTATCGGCAAAACACCCAAGGGAAATAATTCAGTTCCATCAAGTACACATATCTACAACTTCATCATCCTGATATATTTCAATGCATTGTCCTAGAGACTTAGACTGCTAGACAAGCTGTTACAGATCATTTCTGCAATCTTTAGTTTTCAAATCCTAGGAGTCACCTAATTCTCCACTTGACAGATACTGCAATATACCTCCACGACTATAGTCATAGCCCCTCCTTTGTTTGCATGAAGAATTTATGACAGTAAAACTCTTCAAATGACAACCTGTCAGCTGCAAAAAAGAGAAAAATCGAAAGACAAATGAACACACACCGTATGAAAAGAAAATTGAAGAGATGCATCTACTAGACATGGCTAATATACCAACCTGGATTTACACACAGCAGCCCAGAGCAGATATCAAAGCAATCTGGGTGTATGGTTTGTCGTAAAAGCTCTGGAAATGGAAGTCCTGTAGAAGTCTTGATGTTCTTCAAGAGCTGAAGATGAAAAAAAAAACCTCAAACACGGAAATTAGAAAAAAATTGCATTATGCTTACAATTGAAGCAAAAGAAGAGCATTACCTGAACATTAGTCCTGCCATGGAAAGGTGGATAACCATTTAAAAGTTCAAAAAAGATTGCCCCAATGCTCCATAGGTCAACCTAGAGCAGAACACAATGCTTACATAACTCATTGCAGCTCCTTCATAATTATGAAAATAAGAAATTTCTTACCTTATCATCATATCTTTGAAACCCCAACACTTCTGGGGCCATGTACAAAGGTGAGCCACAAACAGTTTCAGCATGATCCCCCGAGTGTAAAACTCTGCAAGTTAAGAGCAGTAGGAACATATACAAACATGACGTTTAATCATTGACATGATAATTGGAAGGGAATCATATAAATTTAAGTAATAAAGAATAAACATCTCCTTCAGAAACACACACACACACAGCAAGGACAGCAACATCACAATGCTAGCATGAATCTTTGACAACTTACCTTGAAAGGCCAAAATCGGCTATCTTTAGAAAGGTGTTGCTGTCAGAACTCGATAATAGGATGTTCTGCAGACCCAGACATAAAGTTTTTAACAATCTTCAAAAGCTAGGGCTTTCAATACTATCGGTTTCTAAAGTGAGATTGGTAGAGATATCCATATGTCCCTGATTCAGATACTTACCAACTCGGAAACTCGAGGAAACTAAATGTAAACCTCTTCTTTAAAGGGCCAACAAGTTCTTACCCTTCATGGATCATTAAGTCTCACAGTGAACTTTATTTAACATAAATTCTGTAAATAAATCTAAATTAAGTTTTACAAACATCACAAATGGTGGAAGTTTGCTAATTTCTGTTCACTATTCAGAATTTCAGAGTGTTGCCAGAAAGAAAGACCTCATCCATCCATTGACATTAATTATGAGGCATCAAACTATGATATTAACTCCTAACATATCTGATCACTTTGAAGGTCCAAGCTTTCTCACTAAAGAACAATAGCAAACCCAATCATATATACCATAAATTTACAAACTTACGATGATATTACATTACTACCATACTAATGTGACTAGGTCAGGGATTCAAGGTTCTGATGACATGCATGAAAAGCCTAATGTTCAATGTATTCTAACATGAACAATAAATTTAGCCTCAAGTAACTTCAGCACATAAACACTATCAATACCTGTGGCTTCAAATCTCGATGGACAATTTGATGGCTTCGCATAATGCTTAAACCAGTACCTGCAATTGATTTTCAATGAGATTTTAAAATCTTATCATGACTAACAAAATTCTATACTTGTATTAAAAAATGGGCACACTACGAAACCTACTAACCTAGTTGATACAGAAAGTCTCTAGCTATTTGCTCTTGGACTCCACCATGGCGACGAATATAAGAAGCCAGATTACCCCCATCACAAAATTCAAAGACCAAACATAAACAGCCTTCATCCTGAACAAAGAAAAGATTAAGTGTATGACATTTAAACCATCTGCGTGATGAGAATCCCTTGAGATTTGAGAAACCAAATTTTAAAAACTTTTCACAATTTCCATACATCAAACCAAAAGACAACCCCCAAGATCACATTATGTCCCAATAATAACCGATAACCGAACCTCCTAGATATGATACCACTGCAACCATACCTCAAGAGGTTCAAATGTACGCAACCTTATTCCGAAAATGAAGCTGAACCAGGCCCCCACCCCCATAAAACAACCACATAAGAACCCATCAAACTTGAGTACAACATTAAAACATTACATCCATTACATTCAAATTTATACTCCTACAAGAGTTAAAGAACAACATTAAAAACAGCAGCACAGTAGCACAATATTCCATTAACTTTCTCAGATATTGCATATTATTCACAAATTAATTACAACCAATTGACAAGGTAAATATGAAAATGCTAACAACAGATAAATTCAAATGAGCAACAACCAAAAACCCATAAAGAAAAAAAAAAATCAAAATTTACAAAGGTGGTATCAGAATTTCAGACCGACAAACCTGAAAAAAATCCAGAAGACGGATTATATTAGGGTGATTAACAGTAGATAAGAAGTTAACCTCACAATCAAGGCAAGCTTTAAGATTTGGGGTTAACTTGGAAAGTGTGATCTTCTTCAAAGCTACATCCTTCAAATCAGGGTTTATCCTGTGATTAGCTCTCCAAACACTTGAAAATGGGGTTTCACTGATTTTTTCTCTCAATATGAAATCTCCAACCACCCTATTTCTGTTTTTGGTGGTTGTTTTACAAGTATTCATTCCCGATTTTGGTGTCTTCAAATGGTATAGAGTACTGTTTAGATGATTGCTGTTGGGTGAATTTCTGGAGGATACCATTGTTTTTTTTTTTTTTTGGATAAAGATGATCAAAATGGTTTCTTTTTTTTTTTTTTTTTTTTTTTTTGAAGAAAAGCCCCAAAGAGGGCAATTAGCTTTCATTACTTGGGAGATCAGACTTCAACATCGCAACAATACAATCAGGTACAGTCGAAGACCAAACCTGCTTACCCACAGACCAAGGCATACAATGAGCAAGCTCATGAGCCACTTTATTACCCTCCCTTCTAATGAAGCTCCAACTAACAGACTCAAGCAAATTACTAACATGATAAATATCATCTAAAATAAGGTGAAAAGCACTATTACCCCGTTCCCGTGACGAAATTGCCTTAATCAATCCAAGACAGTCGCTTTCCATGACCACTCCTCTATACCCAAGGTCGACAGCCATTTGCAAGCCAAACAAAAGAGCTTTAGCTTCGGCAATATTCGGAGCCCACCTATCCTCCACCATCCACACCATAGCAGCACACGCACTCCCATCAGCTCTCCGAATCACAGCCCCAGCACTCGACCCCAAGCCCTCCCAAATTCCAGCATCAACGTTCACCTTCACCATTGATCCTAAGGGTGGCTTCCAGCGCTTACGCCCTGACTCACGCACACCCACCCCAGGACTCTCCTCTTGCTGCAACTCAGCCATAAGTTTCGTAACATAAGTCATAGCCTGAAGCGGATCACAAGCCTCCCCTTCAAACAGCCACCTATTTCTCGCATTCCATATGGCCCAACAAATGGTCATGAACAAACCGTGTTCTTTCTTTGGCAAACAATCAATGCGGGTCAAGGCAAAATCCCCAAAATTCCTATAAGCTCCATCAATCCCTTCATTAGCTCCACTCTCATTCCAAATCAAACGCGCAATCACACAATCACGAAGGCAATGCAAATCAGTCTCCTCCACCGAACTACAAATACTACACAATGGATTTATGCTGGATACTCTTTTATGAAGTCCCACCATAGTAGGCAAAGCTCCACAGCACGCACGCCAGAAAAATATCTTCACCCTTGGGAGAGTGTTGGCATGCCAAATTTTGCTCCAAACATTCGAACCACTAGAGGCAGTAGCTAACTCACCCGCATCCACATCACCAAATATAGCTCTATAAGCGGAGCGAACGGAGTAGTCACCATTCTTTTCAAGATCCCAACAGTATCTTCCGGAAGGCGACAGCTAATGGGAATTCTCAAAATGCGTTCCCTCTCAAATGGAAGGAACATGTCATTAATAACATCCCTATTCCAAGAGGATGTAGGGAGGTGAATAAGATCACACACTTTCATGTCCTCCCTCGCCAATCCCCTAGGAGAGATCACCATCCTAGATTGAGTTTCGGGGATCCAAGGGCTACCCCAAATCGGAATACGGAGACCATCTCCAACTCTCCATCGAATGCCTCTTTGTGTTACCCATTTCACTCCCCAAATGCCACGCCACGTGTAGCTAGGGTTTGAACCAACCTCTGATTCCAAATAGCTACCATTCGGATAGTATCTTGCCCTCCAAATTTGCGCAATCAAGCTCTCGGGTTGTTGAATAAGCCGCCAAGCTTGCTTACCCAATAAAGCAGCGTTAAACAATTTTAAATCACGAAACCCGAGACCCCCACTAGCCTTAGGAGCACACAACTTCTTCCAAGCCACCCAATGAATTTTTCTCTCCTCATTCTTTTGCCCCCACCAAAAGTTTGCAACCAAAGACCGCAATTCATCACAAAAAGAAGAAGGGAATTTAAACACACTCATCGCGTAGGTTGGGATAGATTGGGCCACTGCCTTAATCAACACCTCCCGACCCGCCTTAGAAAGAAATCCCCCCTTCCATCCTTGAAGTCGCTTCCACACCTTTTCTCGAATGTCCTTTGTCAGCACTCTCTTTGATCTCCCAATCACCGTCGGAAGACCCAAATATTTATCATGAATATCCACAACCTTAACACCCAACCTTCCTGCCAACCCTCCTCGTCTCTCCTCACTCACCCCCTTGCTGAAAGAAACAGTCGTCTTTCCCAGATTCACCATTTGCCCCGAAGCAATCTCATACGTCTTCAGAATTTCCCCAATATTATCAACCTCCGCCTCACTAGCCTTCGAAAAAATAATACTATCATCCGCAAACAGTAAATGGGAAATAGAAGGAGCCGACTGTGCCACACGAATACCATGCAAAGTACCATTCACCACCGCCCTGTTAAGCAATCCTGAGAGAGCCTCTGCACATAAAATAAAAAGATACGGGGATGATGGATCACCTTGCTGAATACCCCTCTCTGGAGTAAACTCCCCTGAAGGTGCCCCATTTATCAACACAGAAAAAGAAACCGTCGAAACACAGTGCATAACCCGATCAATCCAACACTCTGCAATCCCCAACTTAGCCATCACCGCTCTCAAAAAACCCCATTCCACTCTATCATAAGCTTTAGCCATGTCAAGCTTAAGAGCCATAAAACCCTCCGTACTAGCAGAATATTTCATGTGGTGAAAAACCTCAAAAGCCACCAAAATATTATCAGTAATTAATCTACCCGGAGTAAAAGCACTCTGATTAATTGAGGTAATCTCCGACAGAAATTTTTTTAAGCGATTAGCCAAGATTTTAGTGACCAGCTTGTACACCACATCACACAAACTAATTGGCCTAAACTCAACCATTTTATCCGGAGCTTTCTTTTTCGGAATAAAAACAATGAACGTTTTATTAATAGACATTGGAATATCATCATCATTCAAGATTCCTAACACCAAATTAGTCACAGCCGGACCAACAATATGCCAATAAGTTTGAAAGAAAAGAGGGCACATACCATCCGGACCCTTTAAAGGATGCATCTGTTTTAAAGCACAAAAAACCTCATCCGGAGTGTAAGGGGCATTAAGAGTATCATTCATCTCATCAGTAACCATTCTCTCTATACCCGCAAGAGCAGCTTCAAAATTATCCGTAGGGGAAGAGGCAAATAAATGCCGAAAGTAATTAATGGCCACCTGCTCCACCTCCTTCTCACCTCTATGCGTGGTACCATCATCAGTCACCAAAAAAGAAATATTATTTTTTTGTTTACGATGAAAAAAGCTTGAGTTTCTATCCCCGGCCTCTAACCACAATGCCCTCGATATTTGCTTCCAATATAACTCTTCTTGGTGAAGGAGGTTAGTAATCTCCTTAACAACCTTTCTCCTTTCTCTTACATGACCCTCAGACCTGTCCCCTTTGTTAAGCACCCCCAACCTTTTCCTTCTCTTACGAATTTCTTTGAAAATATGCCCAAACTCCTTATCACTCCAAGCTGCCAATTCTGCCGCGCACACAGCGAGTTTGCTCTCCACCGCAACACCACCCGCAGCCCAAGCATCGTCTAACACCTTCTCACACTTGTTACTCTCGGTCCAACCTTGTTCAAACCGAAAAATCCTCCCCTTCCTCTTTATTTCATCCATCTGCCCATCGAGAGTAAGCTTCAAAGGAGCATGGTCACTCCATTCTCGCTCAAGGTGCAAAAGCTTTGCATTTGGGAACAAAGCTCTCCAACTTTGTAAGATAAGAGCTCGGTCTAAGCGGCATTGAACATTATCATCTCCCCACTGGCCATTGTCATATGTAAAATCATACCCAGAGTAAGGCATATCAATCAAATTGCACCTATCAACAATATCTCGGAAATTCTCCATTTGCCACAAAGCACGGTCACGCCCCCCTTCTTTCTCCGATTCATGAAGAATTTCATTAAAATCTCCAATGCAAACCCATGCCTCATCACTCTCATTAGCAAGAGTCCCCAATAACTCCCAAGATAAGTGTCGATTATGCACCTCGGGCCACCCATAAAAACCCGACAAACGCCATGGAGGAACCTCCCCAACACCCAGATCAAAATGGTTTCTATCTGTGTTTAAAAAAAAATGAAATGGATGAAAAATTAATACAGTATTTGATTTCTGTTTCCCAAAAAAAAAATTGATTTCTGAAATAGTGAAATTGGTGTTGTATAGGTCAACTTAAGTTGAGTTTTTTTTTTTTTTTTTTTTTTTTTTTTTTTTTTTTTTTTTTTTTTGGGAATTATAGTTGGCTTATAAATTCATTAACTTTTTTTAATTTCTTTTTTTTTTTTTTTCACTCATTTCGCTAAATATACATAATTTTATCATATTTTTTTTTTAACAAATGAAGTTGATCGAGTGCAATTAATTTTGAGTAGCTAAAATGAATGTTAACTAACTTAGTTAGTACAATAATTTCATGAAAATGGTATTGGTATTCGACATATGAGATTAAACCTTATTCAACCAATTATCCTTTCGGGATTTTTTACACTTTAAATTTAAGACATTGAGTTGGATGTGGTTGAACACTGGAACACATTGATTCACTTGCACATGAATGATACATTAGTAGAATATACATTATCAATTCTGCACTTCTAGCTTTTGTACATGATTGGAAGGTTCAAAATTGAAAATTATATACATGTAATGATGTAAATTACTTTCAGGATAAAAAAGATTTGATTGAACACCTCATCGTCAAACTATAAACTCCGGTAAATAGCCAAAGTTCACAAGTCAAGACAACTATCTCCTCTCGCTTCTTCACATTGCAAGTTATCCCGTCTTTAAACCTCTCCAGCTCTCCCCGACACAACTTTATACACCTTGAAAAATGACAAAGATCAAAGCTTTTATACACATAGCAATATAGTCATCAATCAGATATAGAACCTCTACAGAAACCAGGCATAACTAAAAACACAAAGCCCGGCTCTGACATTCTTTGTAAATTGTAATTCTTTCAACCTCCCTCCCTCCCCTCCTCTCAGTTGTTCACCACCCCCTTCATCTAAAAGATGCTGGTGCAAACATGTACTTGTAGATGAAAACCGCAAGGCCAGAACTCCAGAGCAAGACAATATTCACAAGCAAAGAAGTCCGATAATGGTAGAAATTGCTCAATATTTACTAGGATTTCCCACCTGAAGCTCCTTCAGCATCGCAAAACTTATGGGAACTTTTCCCTTGACTAAGTAATAACTCCTTCAAATCCTTGTAGCTCCGGAGCTCTTCTAGAGCATCAGCTGTTGTCCTTGAAGGGGCAAGACTTGACGACAATATGCTTGTGCAAGTCCCCTTCTGAGACTGTTGATCATCTAATTTGAGAGCAGGTTCTTCATTGTCACGGCAGCTCATAGCCTTAGAGGCCATCAATGAATCCTGGCGAAGAGGTGGAGCTTTCTTCAGCATTAATACCAGGGCACCCACTTTAGCATCTTGGGATTTTCCAACAGGAGCGGATCCTCCTGGTTCCAGTGGGTCATTTGGTTTTCCTTTCTGATCGAAGGACTCAGGCCTAAAGAATGTGTGGAAAAATAATTAGCATTGCCAAATTAAGCAAAAATAAATTCAGGAAAGGAAAGGAGTTTCCAAGCAGACAAAGAAATAGAACAAATATGATGGATCGTAGAAAGGTAATCATTGTTTCTTTATTCTTTGGGCACAACGTAATTTCAAGCAAAAGTGGTCAATAAAGACAAGTCTTTGTCCAAATCCTTGCATATATATATATAGCAGAAGCCTATCTTAGGCATAAAAACTCTACACCTGGTCAGCGAAATATAGAGAAAAATTGAGCAAAGAGAGAAACCCTTCACATATTCAGATAGACTATTTTCAAGCACAATTGGTTGCCCAACCCCAATTAAGCAATTTAATATCCTACTGAATCATTCTCCATCAAACTTACTAAATAGACAGCAATATAAGAAAGATGCTACAAAGATGCAACTTCACATCTTACTGCCTATTCACAAATTTATGTTTACATTGCTCCCATAAGATGCTCCGACTATTCACAGCAGGATACAAAATCCCCATACCTTGAAAGTGCACCATTAGGTCCTTAATTACTCCATCAAACACATCAAATAATGTCCCAGATTTGGAGCATGACAAAAAAGATCACAATTTTATTCTGTATACCTGATAAGGGATGCACATTGCTAAAAATGGCACAAAAAAGCAGGAAGATATATAGTGCATAGAACCACAAGGGCATTGTAAAGACAAACACTGACCTTATTCATGCTCACTCTACTCTATTTCAATTACCAAAAGGGAGTAAAGTGAAATAACAAAGATTTAATCCCTTAGTTCATAGGTAATTGTGGAGCTAATGGATATGAACAAGCTTCTATTGCAAGGAATTCTAACCTGGTGCTGATAATTCTTTTCTTTTTTTCTTCTTTAATTTATTTTTTAAAATCCTTTCCATCCTGAGCTTTAGGAAACATAAAAGATTTAACTATGTCTATCCTCCTCACCTTATTTTTCCCAAATTTTAACAAAGTATGTTAAGATATAGGCTAACAAGTTCAATAACAACTAATAATACAGATAAGGACGGGCTACTCGGCTTTAAGTTCAACAAGTTCAGAAAAATCAGATGAGTTCAGATAAGTAGATTAAGGTATTAATAAGCTATGATACATCAATAGATTCATTAACCTATTCTTTTTTTTTTTCTTTTTCTTTTTTTTTTTTTTTTTTTTTTGATAAAGATTCATTAACCTATTCTTTTATATTAACTATTAAGTGATAAGTATTACTTATTGCTGGACATTAGAGGTTTAGTGTTTACTCCAAATGTTTTAAAATCAAGATTCGAACACAAAGTAGTCTCACTATAAACACAAATCGCAAACAGTTATATAACTAACCCTGAGCCCTGCCATGAATCTTGGTGCACTGACTTCTAAGTTCATAACTTCATACAAGTTGGTTTGTAAAATATTACACCCAATCACCAACTACTAAGTGAGTCAAGAAATTTACTTCCCACTTGGTAATCCATTAAAGAGTAGTGTTAATTTCCCCAAAATACTGACATTTGACAAACCTAAGATATTACTCCGTATGTAATTTTACTCTTTATTTTCGATTTTTCGTCACAATTTTAAAGATTAAACCAATTTCTCTTCAACTGTACCAATGGAGTCACATAAACAAGTAGCCCAAACAAATCAAGCAGGTAATCCAAAAAGATATCCAACAGTATCCTGGCGTAGATGCGGAGATGGAAAAGCAGACTATATCTAGTCCGCAGAACATACCATTGCTGAAGAGATAACATCTCAAGAAAGCCAAAAAATGTAGCCAGAAAGGAAGGCTAATGTTCTAAAAGGCTTGAGGGCATGAACTGGCCTGTGAAACTTGCTTCGCATTTTATCTATTTAAAGTTTTTTACACACATTTTTTCCAATGAAACGTATCTGAATGAACATATGAATTTAACATAATAACAATTTACCTGCTACCCATGTCATCATCATCCACAACAAACGGGCAAGCAAACTCAGTATCATCAAAATCATCATGAATTGATGGCCTACTAGAACTCCTAGAGAAAGAGATGCCTGGAGAGCTGTTGGTTGATACCCTAAGCCCAAAATATCTTCCACTTTCATCTCTGCCCAGAGAAAACTGCAAAACAGGAAGATTAAAGCACCATTCAAGGAAGAAAGTCACAATTGAAACTATAAAGAAACAAGGATTTAGAAAATCCATGAATCAAGAAGTACCTTGTCAACAGATGAACCACTTGGACCAGTAGATCTATCTGACTTTAAAGTGGTGGCTCTTGTAAGCTTAGGGGGAGGAGAAGGACGCAAGACTTGCCTGTTGAAAGCATTACTCACAGGAATTCTAACAGGAGCACTTTCACATCGCAACAGAGCCTTGGAAGCATCAGTATTAGCGATGTACATTGGTGGGGAAGGTGAGGGAGAAGGAGAAAAGACAGGGGAAGGCCAATACTCATCGTAGCCGGTATTTTTTCCAGTAGCTTGAAATGTTTCAGGTAAGCGTTGAGGCAAGCTCAAAGGAGGGGGAATTCGAGATTTACACTTAGATACTGAAGCATGAGAATCTGAGTACGTGGGAGATGGAGATGGAGATGGTAAATTTAGTAATGGTGAGGCTTGATAGTTTTCATAGCTCCAACTATGACGTCTTGAGAATGGGGAATAAGATGGGGAGCCATGAGACCTGGGAAGAGACGGGAACCTTTTAAGTGGATCTGCTAATGGGCTACCGACATAGTCTGGTATGAACTGTGGAGACATAGGAGTCGAAGGTTCTGAGCTCACATCAGACAGTATAGATCGATATGATACTGAAAGACAGAGTTTACCACATGAAGTATCAACTGGGGCAAAACTAAATCGCTGCATCTCACTCTCTTCTTTCCTCGTGAAGGGCTCAACAAAGGTAGACACACGATGTGTAAGCGTGTATGTATGAATTTGTCCAGATGAAATGAGATCTCTGTAAAGTTTGTATGCAGGCAAAAGTCGTATAGTTACATATAACGATCTCAAAAGCACAATTGACTTCTTATATAGCGAGTGCAAATTACCACTAGATTTTTTGCTGCCAAGACCACCATCTCTACTCTTTCGGCTCTCATATTGCACCACCCATCTCTCTATAATTTTTTCATTCCTTGGTACAACAGCAGGCTCATCAAGTTCCAAGTTCATAAAATTTGAAACCTGATCTTTCAATGTTGGATTCTTTACAAAATCCCTTTGAGGAGAAAAGTTGACAAAATCCCGTTGAACCAGGATCACATCAACTACCATGGGTTCAAGGTTACTCTGACGCCAAAAATCAATATTCTCCAAGGCAGCAGGACATTCCCTGAGGGCTAAATTAAACCATTTGTCCCTAGTCCTAAAACTCGAGGAAGACGAAGATGATGATGATGGAGACGACACAACCTGCTCTCCACTATAATGCCGCGAGGACATGTAAGGTGACCTGGATTCTAGTATTATCTGAAGGGTCTTAGTGAAAAACTCAGTTATAATTTGCTCCTTTTTCGCGGTATCTGAGTGAACATTACCCCTAGATGATGCCATACCTCAAAACTACCAAAATTATCACAAAACCCCAAAAATCCAAAATTTTATAATTCAACTTCAAAGGCCAAAAACCCACAAAGTAAAGAATTTATCAATGTCCAATTATCCACTTGATTATCATTCTGTAACAAAAAAAAAATATTTAAAAATAAAATCAACGATCATCTAACCATCACAAAATTCACTATTAACACAAATTACAATTAACCAAATTACTACACTACATAATTAATCTAGAACATAGAATTAAAAATTTAAAAATAAATAAAATATGGGCAGTTAAAATTTGAACTTTTAAACGATCATACAGTAGCATAATTACAAAATTAATGTAAAACCCAATTCATAAAATCCAAAAAAAAAAGAGAGAGAAAGTGGACTTACTACTCAAACCGCGATACACCCAGTTGAGGGCTGACAATTCCGGTTGAATTGGGTTTCCTGGAAATTGAAGAACCCTAAAATGACGATAAAAAATTATCGAAAAATAAGGGGGGAAAGCACGAAAAAACAAACAAATTAAAATCCCAAAAATCAGTTTTTTAAATTATTTTTTTTTTTTTTCTGAGGGGCCAAAAATAAAAATTACAACGAAAAAGTGATGGAAATTAAGCAGAAAAATTCAAAAAAGTCCAGCGAAGTAAGGGAGAAAGAGTTGGAGGACGAAAGACTAAAAACTGAAAAAATTGACTGCAAAAAAAAAGAGTTTAAAGTTTAAACACAGGACAAATCTCTTCTTCCCCAAACATGGTCTTATCTGCTTCATAACATAACATATTAACATCAGCTTAATTTTAATGTTTATGGAGCCCTTTTAGGTTTCATTATGGGTCCCACTATTTGGCCCAATTATATCTTTACACGTCACTATATATATCTATATTTGGAAACTTGTCATAGGGGTTATATTGAGATTATTGGGTGTGAGTGTTATTATTTGATACTCTTTTCGTTTTATAATCGCAACACTTTGATTGATATATAGGTTAATGTATAACTTTGACCATTAATATTTATAATTATATAATATTATTAGTATAAAAGATTAATAAAATGAAAATATACGTAAAGACTAATTTACAAATATTTTAGGTGGCAATCTATGTTTTTTTTTATGTATTACCAATCGGATGGACTATATATTATTACGAAACAAATGAACTAATTTTTTTATAAGATTTTTTATACATATATAAAATTATATTGCATTGTTGTTCCAAAGTTAAAATACGTACTCCTTTCGTCCCTTATGTTTCCATTATTTTTTTAAATAAAAAAACATACCTTTTTTTTTTTACTATTAATAAGTTTAATTATGTATTAGTGAATATATATATATATATATAAATATATATATATATATATAAATATATATATATATATATATATATATATAAATATATATATATATATATATATATATATATATATATATATATACACCAATTATAACTTCAATAATAATGTTAATATTTATATTTATACAATTTGATTTGTTTCAAGAATTATTTATACACTTATAAATCATGTCCATGCAGTATCATGTAATATGATTGAGTCCATTCGAGTCTAGTCATTTTGATTGATGAGATTTATAAAAATTCAAGCTGAGTCAAATTCAAGTGAGGAATTTATAAAAATTGAATAGGGGTTAAATTGAATCCCATTTAGGTTACGTTCAATTTTGGGTTAGTGGGATCAATTTGAAACGAATTAATTGTATTAGTAATATAGTTGAAGTCATGTGGTTACAATATTGACTACTGTTAAATGAAATTGTACTACCAATTTTAAAACTTTTATTTTTCGAATTTGGATATATGTATTTGGTTTATGATGTCCAATATGAAAATACGAGTATTGTTGTATTAATTCAGTTTTTGAGTATTATTGGTCCTTAAATAACTAATTCAAGATCAATTTTGAATTGTATATCCAATCCATCATCAACCCTAAAATGAACCCTACTATTTGGGTCTTTTGTAACCCTAATATATGAACCCAAATAATCGATCTTTTTCAAGTGAACTAATTTTGAATCATGTAAATCAAACAACTGCCAAATTCGATAGTTGGACTGGAATGTTTTGAAAAAAAATGGGCTCAAAAATATCTGACTTAGCCCAACGTTGGCCCATTATAATTATACAAAACTTACAACGCGGTCCATTACGGGCAAAGCCGACCGGCCCAATACTCTTAATACACCAATTTATATTTGAACCATAAACTCATGATTGTAATTTGTAAAACAATCTTATTTTTAATGAGTTGTAGTCTTGTTGATGCAAATTTGGAGAGGCTGGATTTACCATAACATTGACCATATTTGGCTACTAGCGGTTAGCTAATAGTTGGGGTTGGATGTATAATTTATTAACTCTTGGTTGTTTTGATTAGGATAATTTGTCAATTATTACCGCAAATTAATACCACTTTGTAAATTACTACCGCAAATTTAAAAAGTTGTGAATTACTACCGCAAAAAATTTTAAGATGTTGCGATTACTACCAAACCCCTATTAAACCCAACTATGACGTCATTATATCCCTTTAACCCATGTTTGACCATGGTTAAGGGCTTTAACCAGCCCCCCCAAAAAACAAAATGGGTTAGGGATATAATGATGTCATGGTTAAGGGCTTTAACCCATGTTTGAACATGGTTAAGAGCTTTAACCATGGGTTAAAGTGATATAATGACGTCATAGTTGGGTTTAATGGGGGTTTGGTAGTAATCGCAACATCTTAAAATTTTTTGTTGTAGTAATTCACAACTTTTTTAATTTGCGGTACTCCCTCCGTCCCTAAATTATATTCCTCCTTTCTATTTTTGGTAAGTTTTTTTTAGTAAATCAACTCTCTTTTTCTGTTTTATATTTAATGCTTTCTCACTCATCCTTACCTAATCTCACTCATAATCCTTGTGCCAAATTATAATGAATATGATTGATTAAAAAATTTCAATTAGGAGCATGTGATTGGTCCTTTTTTTTACAAAGGATTGATGACATGTCCTCCATGGAAGAATTTTAAAGGGAGGAATGTTAGGCATTTAGAAATGCATAACAAAGGGTATTCATGTAATTATGCATATGTACAAACGAATAAATATTTTGATATCATTGGATGATCAAATGGTACCATTGAATATACAGTGATACTACATGTGCACATAATGGTATTATATATGCATTCAGTTGTACTAAATTTATGCGTAAATAGTACCACTGAGGATTCAATGGTACTATATAAACTTTCAGTGGAACAATCAGCATGTGGTCCCCCATCACGTGATACAATCCGACCAAAAAATAGGTGTGGTCCACCTACATGCCTCTCTCTTCTTTTCTCTCTCTATCATGTGTTTTTATAATATTTTAATTAATGTTATGCATTATAAAATGCATAACTTTCCTCCATTTCTAGTTCCTCCATGAGTAATAACTAATCTATCGTTGTACTTTCCATTGCATTATCTAATTATTGTTATTTGTCTTATTCTTTTCTTCTTAATTCCCGTGTAAATTTCCAAAGAGGAATGTAATTTAGGGACAGAGGGAGTAGTAATTTACAAAGAAGTATTAACTTGCGGTAGTAATTGACAAATTTTCCTTTTGATTATACCCTCTGTTTTTATTAGTGTAACATTTGTGTTTGGTGTACTAATGCACTATTCATTGAGTAGCTTTGAGCCTTTGACAAAAATTTGAACTAAATGTACTCCGTTATTGGATTAGTTACAATACACGGAGTACTAACTTATGAAAAATTTGAGATATTAATGATCATATATATTTGCGTATAGGCATACCTACCGGTTAAATTATTGCTCTTAAAAATAATATAGGGAGTACCAAATTGAATTGGATATTTAAGTAAATGTATTTAATGTTTAATACATACTGTAACTTTTAGTTGAAAGTTTGTAAATTGACCAGCAAAATTAGTGAAATAATTAAAGTTTTAAATGTTTTTACACTAGTGGTGCACTTGCATGTAATACTAAAGCTTATAATTTACTAGAGTTTTGAGAAGTGATATCCAAACTCTAGAAACGAATCTTGTTTATATCATCATTCTTATGAATTTTTTTTATATATAGAGAAAATATGATGCGTCTACATCTGTTATGTATTAGATATTGATTATTGGACAAGTCTTTGTTTTATAAATAATATACCAAAATAGTGCAAAGAGCACATTACATACATACATACAAGTGTTAGTTCGTGCAATGAGCCTAATTTAGTGTCTATATTCCAAAGATATTAGACAAGGGACAAGTCATAGTTCACAATTCACATAACTAAGTCGGTATTAAGTTGACTACTTGACTAAGTGTTGTGCAACTTACATTGGCCATACTTACTTTAGGCTTAACTAAGTCGGTATTAAGTTGACTACTTGACTAAGTAACCATTGTTTGTTGAAGTCTTGAAGATATTTATCAATATGAATGTGGAAGATAAAGTCGTCTTTATACTAGTACTACTATTAAAAGTACTTATATTAAATTAAGCAGCTCTTTGTACAGGAGCATTAGCACTTTGCACAAGACCAAAACACAATCCTTAGCGAGTTAATTTTTGTTAATAAAAAATCCCCTCTTGCAGTTTTGGAAAGTTTGACTCATCATGTTGTATTTGTGAGTCTTTAATATTAACGTCTTTGACCATAAATATTTTCAGCTATGTATAAATGAAAATTATAAAAATTTGATATTCGAAAATTTTATAATATGTGATATCTAATAAGATCTCACATGCTAATTTATTTTTATGTATAAATCATAAATTATGATCAAAGTTATTATATTTTGACCACATGAAAAATAAGTGAGTGAACTTTATAAATGGAGCTAGTATATATGTTTTCCAATTTAAAAATTCATAAAAACTATGTATCTTGCATGTATATTACTCTACATCATATGTTTTCCTTCAAATAATAAAAAAAAAACAACAATTCTACATACGTTTTAAGTACCATGTGTCCATGTGTATTAATAATGTAATGGAATTTGTGGTAACATTCTTAGAGCAAGTTAGCCCCAATTTTAAGACTTAGGGTGACATCATCATTTTAGTTCTTAAGATTCATGCTTAAGACTTTTCTCATTTTTCTTCAAAAATCTCAAGCAAGTCTCAAATTGAGTCTTGAAATTTCAAAACTCAACTTAAGACTTGAGATTGGGACGCACTAATCCCACCTCACTTTTATTTTTATTATCCTTTTTTTTTCCTTACACTATTCTACATATAATATGTCAAATATTAAGTCTTAGGGCTAAAGTGATAAATTTTTGTAAGCCTTAGTGAGTCTTAACAAGAATTTGATGACATCATTTTCAATTGGGACCACAAAAAATGATGTCACATTCAAGTTTTAAGACTTGGGGCTAAACTTGCTCTTACATTATTTATATATAAGAACACATTACAATTTTTTTTTATTTTTTTTTATTTTTTATTATTTTTTTTTGAAACAAGAAGAACACATTTCATCATAACACAATAATTTCAAATTATGGAAAATTTCAGTGGTATTATTTCTAGTTAGAATTTTTTTTTCCCATTTTCTTTATAAATTATGGAAAATGCTATACAACGCTCTTAGGGCTACATATAAGCATTAAATTTATACTTGAAAATCGTAAAAAGTTAAGAAATCATGAAAATATAAACACTAATTACATTGATTTACGCGTGGTTTTGTCATAAATTCCTAATTTTATTCAATTTACAAGGGTATATTTAATGCTTATATATAGCCCTTAAGGCTACATATAACATTACCCATAAATTATTAAAGTCAGTTATGAGATTTTTGGAGTATATGTAAAATTATAACATAGTTTATTTCAATACATTAATCAGAAAGTTAATAGTCCGTATTAAATTATCTTATATGAGTAAAATATTGTTCAATTTTGATGAATTAATTAATGTGCACATTTGGGTGTTACATATAATTTCCTTCCCTAGGAACAGCCTATTCAAAAGTTAAAATGATGAGCCTTTAGAAAAACATACTAAACTTCAAAGGGATACTAAACTCCAAACTCTTTGAGTAGAAGTCGGTACATTATATTTTCCTAATAAAAAAAAGAAAAAGGAGTGTAAGCTTCCTTTAGGAGGATAGGCCGCCAAAATTATATTAAGAATTTAATAGACATGATTGTAGACAATTTATACTTGTATATTATATTATGTGGTTTCAAATCATCAATGAAAATTAGGGCATTAAGATTAGTGCACTTGCTTCTGTTTTCTTTGCTCTTTTCTTCTTGATTAGTTGTTTTTAAAATTAATTTTTCTTCAAATAATTGCTTCTTATTTTAGGGTTCACAAGAACGTATGATGATAAGGCTTGAATTAATTAGAGATGCCACAAAAGTAACATTCCCACTTGGGTTTTGAAAGCTACTTTAAAGGAATATAATATTTACATACATATTCCCATTATTGATATTTATGTATACAATGAAAGTATATAAATAATGATTCACTTTCATGAAAAGGACAACTAAAATGCATGTCGATTTGGAAAATTTCCAATTTAAATCTTATTTTAAAATTTGAGGTGCACAAATTTTAAAACCCAAATTAATAAAAAGTTTATTAATTAATTTACTATAATCATGGAGGGCTTTTCACTAAAGTACTAAAATTATATACATTATGATTTATGTTAATATCCCTTTTAAGCTTAGCACATATGGAGTATTAGGATTAGTATGTTGATTAGTTATATATAAATTATACACTTAATGGTACGGTGCTTTAATTAGAAGCCACATATTTAGTAAGCCACTTTAATTTTGCTTAATCAGATTACAGTAAAGTTTCAAGATTTAATGGATGCTGTATTAAATGGAGTAAGTTTTAATTCATTAAAATGATGTAAATCAAATCCCACTAATCAATATCTTGTGCTAGCTAATTAGGATTATTTCTTCTCTATATTAATTTTCTTTTATTGGTGTTAGTGACTCATGTTTCAGAGTTTTGAACATGATATGGGATTAGTTCATGCATGCTTCTATTTGAACATGCTAATAGTTAAAGGATTATACTAAGATTAGTTTCTTGACAAACTTGTAGGGGTGAGCATCTATCTATTATATCCATTTGTCATATATATTATATTGAGACTAGTGACTTCATATATATATGATGTAATATGTTCTCATTTGTAACAGGAGCTTATATTTTGATGGAGTTACTTTATATAAGTTGGGTAGAACAACCTAACCCTAAATAGTCTCCAAATGAATGAAATTTATTTAAGGGAAATTCTCTATAAGAATAAAGCTAGTGACTCAAGTACTTCATTTAGAATTAACCATCCAAATCAAACTATCCTTTTATACATAAACTATTTTTATTTGATTCAATTATTATGTATTCATTAGATCTAAATCTCTTTGTAGATGTTGTATGACTTTATTTATGAATCAATTTTATTTCGAAAAAAAAACTTTTTTTTTTCCCACCCAATTCACCCTTTGGGTTAATCCAAATTTAAGGGTCAGTAGTTCTGGACGGTTGGATTCCAATCCCCTCCCAATTGTTGTTGCGGGGGATCGAACACGCGATCCTCCCTACCAATTGTAGCCCCAATCACCACTATATTAACAACCAATTGATATAAAATATACTTAATAATTAAATAGATATTAGACACAATAAGAGTCATCTATATGCTTGTATGCAAAGTTAGCAAAACATTTCTAAAAAAGGCGATATCTGTTAGATAGAGCTATATTATCATAATTTGAGCCAAACCAAATAAAATTGAGCTAAGTTACTAGGTCTTGTTATTTTCTCAAAAATTGGCTTCTTAAAAGGTTGTCAAATTTGTCCCTTCTTTCTCCTTAAACTAACACCATAATTTCTCCAAATAGTCCACCGGTCCTCCCTAATGAGACAAGGTAGTCATACAAATCTTCAAATTCATTTCACCACTAACACAAAAATTGAACTTTTGATAATAGCCGAGTAGTATATATTTAAAAATTTCAACCACTTACAATATTTTATCTATATCTCACCACTCAAATTTTTTATTTTTTAACTTACTATGTACCCAAAAAAAAAAAAAAAAAATAATAATGAAACAAGGCTCCTATTTTTTAGTGCATTTGTCTATATGTCGTTTATATATATATATGGTTGGAGATAAAGATCAACCAACCATATCCACTCTAATATGCCACAATAACAAAATAAACATTCCACAAAAAAATAATCCACCATATAATAAAGTTAGAATCTAGTATTTTTATATCTTCATCACTACTACATATATTCTCCACCCAACAACATAATTCTTAAGCTAGCTTAAAACTTTCATATTTCCTCTCTCAAAAAAAAATATAGAAAAAAATGATACCTTCAACCTTTTCCCTCATTTCATCTAACCTTCATCAATATCCTAGAAGAATGTTACTACACTCCCCATTTTTCCATCATAGAGTACAACCTACAACGGCGACACCCCCACCACCACCAAGTGAACAACATGCGTACACGACCGTGCCGCCAAAGCACGGTGGGAGTAGTATGGATGCTAATGTTGTCATGATCTTTTCAGTCTTATTATGTTTACTAATATTCTCGATATGTATTAATTGTTTAATTAGGTGCATGTTTAAGTGCCTAATTATGATTACTACTCGTAATACCCAAGAAAGAAGTCTACGTGATAATAAAGTGGTTATTAGTAGTGGTTTAGACAAAAGGGCATTAAAGACATTTCCAGTGGTGAAATATTCGAAAGATGTGAAGGTTCAAGGATTGGGCAGTGAATGTGTGATATGTTTGGCTGATTTTAAGGGAGGAGAAAAACTAAGGATATTACCAAAATGCCATCATGGATTTCATCTTAAGTGTATTGATAAATGGCTTGGTTTTCAATCTTCTTGCCCTATTTGTAGGCAATCTTTGATTGACACTTGTCAGAAGATCATTGATTGTGATCATCAAGCTACATCGTCGTCGTCGTCGACGTCACCATCTTCACCTAGTGAGGTTGTTGTGATTAGTATTGTGCCACTCGAAAGAGAAGGTTTAGTAATTTAATTTAATCAATAGCCAATTAACTAACCCTGCTAACTAGGTACTTAGGTTTGTAATCGTACAAAATTATAGCTCAAGATACATTTTCTATTGGATTTCCAAATTATACAAAGAATTAACAATTTGCCATAATCTTTTGGTATCTCTTCTGTGTTATTATTCGTATTCAATTAAGTTATTAAAACATTAGTCTCGAATTATATGTCTTGTTGTAAAGTTGGTAATGCAGTAATTTGATACTCCGTACTCAAAACGCTTCTAATAAACTTTTAGCTTAGATTAATAAGTTGATGAAATTGTACCGTGCAAATAACGAGACCTAAGGTACGTATGTAGGTCAACGGGTTTAAATTTATTTAATTTGTGACTTTTTTTTACGACAAAATCTATGACTAGTTAGTTGTACGTAGGATAGCTAGGTGTAAGAAAAATGTGAATATAATCGACTCAAAAAGTCATTCTTCCTCATATATTCACATCTCCCGAGAATTAAGAGCATGGGTTGGGGACTTCGGGGAGGGATGCTTGTTAAGTTAGCCTGAGGTCAGGGCCGATGACCAAAACTTGTATGACATTAACATTTGAACAATATTTTGTTAGTCATTTGGAGATTGAAAGGGGGATGGAAATCATGGAATGCAATAAAGATATAGACTCATTCTAATTACATCTAGTAAAAATAAAAAAATATATTTAAAAGGGGATAATGTTTATAAGTGTAAATTTAAATTTTGTATGGATAGAATAGAATACTCTGTATTAGATAACTTAAAAGTATTATCATTAAGGACATTAAGTAAAACTAGGCGTTCTTAGGTTGGCATCAAGTATCTTCCCTCTAGAGCGCGTCTCTTGGGAAGGCTCCTCTAGGGCTTCCTAGTTCTTCCTTTTCTGAAGGTGTTCTCTCGATTGCTTCGAGTTTAATTGCTATGGCGAATGAAGAACTAGTTCCGAAGATTAACAGTAATGAAAACGTTCTTAGTGATGATGAAGACGGGGTGGATTGGGTGGTGGAAGGAGAGAAGGATGAGGAAGTAAGAGTCTCTCTTGGAGTTGTTTGCAGAATTTGGACAGATAGACATGTTGATTCCAATGCTCTAATCGCTCAAATGAACCGTCTTTGGAATCCTAAACATGGGATGGAAGCCAATTGTATTGAGAAGAACCGCTACTTATTCCAATTCCACCATTGGAAAGACAAGTGGAATGTTATGGAAGGGCAACCTTGGCATTTCGACAGGCACGTTTTGATCTTGAATGACATCGAAGGTAATTGCAAACCCTCTGAAATTCCTCTTTTTCATGTTCCTTTTTGGATTAGAGTGTATGACCTTCCATTTATGGGAAGGAGCAGTATGACTAATGCAAAGACTATTGGGGATAAATTGGGGGTTTTTTTAACAATGGACCAGTCTGGGATGCTGGAATTAACAAATCGTTGCGCATTAGAGTCAATGTTAATGTGCGTAAGCCTTTGAAAGATAAAATTAATCTGAAATTAAGAGGTGGGGTGAAGGAGAGTGTGAGTATCAAGTATGAAAAACTTCCCCTGTTCTGTTATGGCTGTGGGATGCTTGGACATGGCGAAAAAGATTGCGAAGAAGGTAATTTAGAGGTGCCTGATGCTAGAAAATTCTCGGATGCGATGAGAGTTTCATCTCCATGGAAAGTGATTAAGGCAAGGGAGAGTAGTGGAAGTGTTGGGGATGGAAAGTGTGCGAAGCAGTTATTTGTTGCTAAGAAATCCCGTTTTGATGCTCATAAAGAGAAGGAGGTGGTCAATGCGGTTGTTTCTCAACTTGGAGGTGTTACCATTACTAGTGACAGTGGCAATAAGATTAATGATGATGCTATCCACCATGAACCCCCTTTTGCTCTTGCTGATAACATAACAAGAAAAGAGGCTGATGGTGATGACTGTACAGGGGAGGTTGAGGCACAGGCCCTGCCCTGTGATAATACTCTGGGTGTAAGTGATATTTGCAAAAGGAAACTGAGAAAGGTGAAGCTATTGCATGGAGCACAGGGTATGCATATGGAGAGAGATGATGTGGAACAAGTCTCTGGTTTGAAGAGAAAGGATTGCAGCAACTTAATGATTGATGAGAGTGGAGTTGGTATAGTTGGAGTGAAAAAGAGTAAGGTGGATGAAGGGGTGCTTACTCAATTTTGTCCGGTGAAATTAGCGGTGGTTGGCGATGCCCAACCTCGCGAACAACAATGAAAATCTTGAGTTGGAACTGCCGGGGGTTGGGCAACCCTCGGAAAGTTCGTACTCTCCAAACTTGGTGTTGGAGAGAAAGCCCAAATTTTGTGTTTGTGATGGAAAGTATGATTGATTCGAGGAGATTGGAGTTAATTCGAAACCGGTGCGGTTTAAAGGATGGTATTTGCTTAAGTAGTGTGGGGAACTCGGGTGGGATAGGTATGTGGTGGAAGGATGTTAACGCTCATGTGTGGTCCTATTCTACTCATCATGTTGTTGTGGTAGTGAGAGATGCTAGCAATGCTCCTAAATGGGCAGCCATTGGGGTGTATGGTTGGCCGGAGAATGGAAATAAACACCTTACTTTTGATTTGATTAACTCTCTGAGGGATGATATTCAAGTGCCTATGGTGTTTTTTGGGGACTTCAATGAGATTTTGTATGAAAATGAGAAGTGTGGTGGTGCGCCTAGGTATGAGAGTAAAATGGAGCTCTTTCGTGATATGATGGAGAGGTGCAACCTTAATGACTTGGGATATAAAGGGAACATTTTTACTTGGCAAAGAGGGAATGATCCTAATCGTGTGGTTAGGGAACGTTTGGACAGGTTCATAGCTTGTGATGGATGGTGCGATTTATTCAAGACAAGGCAGGTTCGACATTTCCCCATTGTGTATTCAGACCATGCTGCAATTTTACTTGAAACTGACTTGGAGAAGCAGTGGAAAAGAGGGCTGAAACGTCGCTTTTTTGAGGCCTTGTGGTTGTCCCATGATGATTTCCAAAATACTGTTAGGGGGGCGTGGGATGGTGGGGCTAGTCTAAGCATTAGTGAGAAGATAGCGATGTGTTCTGGCAGGCTCCATAACTGGGATAGAGAGACATTCGGAAATACTCGAAAAAAAATTGCAGCAAAAGAATTAAAGTTACAAGAGTGGCAGTGTAATGCTCCTGATGCTGAAATGTTAAGGAAGTGCGCTAGTATTACTTTAGAGTTGGAAGAGCTACACCGTCTTGATGAGTCTTATTGGCATGCTAGGGCGAGGGTCAATGAACTCAAGGATGGGGACAAAAATTCTGCTTATTTTCACCATAAATCCAACTATCGACAGTGGAGGAATAATATCAATAAATTGGAGGACGCGAATGGTGTGCTTCATGATGAGGAAGAGAATATGGCTCGTATAATTGAGGAATATTTTTCTGATATTTTCTCTTCTTCTTTGCCTTCCAATTTTGAGGAGGCGCTTGCAGGAATTAATTCAATGGTGACTAATAGTATGAATGAGGCGTTGATGTGTATTCCTACGGCGGATGAAATTTTTCAAGCTCTATCTCAAATGCATCCTAATAAGGCCCCCGACATCGATGGAATTCATGCTCTTTTCTTTCAAAAATGCTGGCACATTGTGGGTAGTGATGTGATTGCCTTTATTCAGAAGTGGTGGGTGGAGGGTGGTGATTTGAGTGTTGTCAATAAGACTTGCATTGTCCTCATTCCTAAATGTCATGAACCGACCAAGATGACGGAGTTTCGGCCGATTAGCCTTTGCAATGTGGTGTACAAAATAATATCCAAAACGATGGCAAATCGTCTCAAGACCATTCTTCCTGAGCTTATTTCGCATCATCAAAGTGCTTTTGTTCCTGGCCGTTTAATTAGGGATAATGCGATTGTGGCCTTTGAAATTTTCCATGCTATGAAACGGAAGGGGGATGGTAAACGTGGGACTATGGCTTTAAAGCTCGATATGAGTAAGGCGTATGATTCGGTGGAATGGACCTTCCTCCAGCATATTTTTGTGAAGATGGGCTTTGATGATAGGTGGACGCAACGGATTATGATGTGCCTCTCTTCTGTTCAATACTCAATTAAGCTGAACGGTCAGATTTTGGGATGTATTTTGCCTTCCCGGGGGCTTAGGCAGGGAGACCCCATCTCTCCTTACCTTTTCCTCCTTTGTGCTGAGGCCTTCTCTTCTCTTCTCGTGAAGGCTGCTAATGACAAGGTCATACATGGTGCTTTGGTGTGTAGGGGTGCACCTAGGATATCCCATCTGTTTTTCGCGGATGACAGTATCTTGTTTGCCAGAGTGACTTCTTAGGAATGTTCTATATTGCTAATATCATTAGTGTGTATAAACGAGCTTCGGGGCAAAAAATCAATTTTGATAAATCTGAGGTGTCTTTTAGTAAGAATGTGGATGCTTGTAGGCGGCGAGAAATTATTGATGTGCTTGGGGTGAAACAAGTGGCTAGACATGACAAATACCTTGGCTTGCCTACTATCATTGGAAGATAAAAAAAAGCCGTTTTCTCTTGTCTCAAGGATCGTGTTTGGAAGAAAATGCAAGGTTGGAAGGAGAAGCTTTTATCTCAAGCGGGGAAGGAGGTGCTTATCAAGGCGGTTGCTCAAGCTATTCCTACGTATATGATGGGTTTATTTCGTATTCCGGATTGCATTGTTGATGAAATCAATAGAATGTTGGCTCGTTTTTGGTGGGGAGCGAATGGTACGGAAAGAAAGCTTCATTGGATTAGTTGGGAAAACATTTGTCTTCCTAAGTCGCTTGGTGGCATGGGGTTCCGTGATTTAAGCACTTTTAACCAAGCTCTTTTGGCGAAGCAAGGGTGGAGACTTCTTTGTAACCCCGACTAGCTTGTTCATCGTGTTCTCAAGGCTAGATATTTTAAGAATGGTGACTTTATCTCGGCTAACCGTGGCTATGATCTTAGTTATGTGTGGCGTAGTATTTGGGGGGCCAAGGCTATCCTTATTGATGGCTTGAAGTGGAGAGTTGGTGATGGGTCTAACATTAATGTTTGGGAGGATGCGTGGCTTCCGGGGGAGAATGTGAGTCGTGTTCCTGTGCCTAATTTGGAGAGCCCTGCAGACTTGAGAGTGGCAGATTTGATTGACAGCAATAGGGGAGTGT